GTGACGAAAACAAGGCTATCTATTAATGTTGAAATGAAATACAGTTATACAGAACTGCGTACCATCTCACCATTCAATGGTGCTGATCACACAGAAATCTACTCTGAGAAATACATGAGCATCAGGCAGCTAAAACCATACTACTTGATAATTACAGGCTGATGTGCTTACAAACTCTTCAGCTTTTTTTTCTCCCTAAAAGTTTTATAACGAACACTGAGGAAAATGATTTAAACACAAATTCCTGGGTTAGCTCTGACTAATTTTAGTTTAAGTCACACATCACCCAAACAATATGATCATGGCACTTTCACTACAGGCAAAACATGTTTTTAAAACAAGCAAATCTTGTCAGGCCTATGATGCTAGACACACGTTTTCAACCAGTTTCTCTCTGAAAAGCTTCCATAAGCTACAATCAGATACAACCACATCAGATAAAACACACAACAGTAACCCTAAAGAACTGGCTTCCATTAGAGTTCTGTACTCATTTCTATTCCCAGGTTTAGAGTTTAGAACTTTTTGCAAATACCTGGCATGCTAACGCCCATTACCACAATACATCACCTCAATATAATGCGGCCTAAGATCAGATCTTAAAACAGACAGTGTGACGCATTCTCACTCATTTGTTCAATAAAAATTTACCACCCAACCACAGTCTCAGTGGTACACTGAAGAGTGTACCAAATAGAAAAGGTCTCACCTATCTTGTTTACTGTCTGTCATCACTCAGACATAAAACAAGACCCAACTACAAGAGTCAGTGCTATGCTGCAGTGGGCTAAACAAGCCACATGGGTGCCAGTTCCAGTCGTGGCTGTTCTACTTCTAATCCAGCTCCCCGTCAATGAGTCCAGAAAAGCAGTGGAACATGGCCCAAGTGCTTGGGCCCCTGCACCCACATGGGAGACCTGGATGAAGCCCCTGGCTCCTGGCTTTGGCCTGGCCCAACCCTGGTTGTTGTAGCCATCTGGGGAGTGAACCAGCAGATGGAAGACCTCTCTCCCTCTGCCTCTGTCTCTCTCTAACTCTTCCAAATAAATAAATGAATCTTTTTTAAAATATAAAAATAGGGGCCGGCACTGTGGCATAGCGGGTTAAGCTGCCATCTGCAGTGTCAACATCCCATAGGGGCACTGGTTCGAGACCCAGCTGCTCCACTTCCCATCCAGCTCTCTGCTATGGTCTGGGAAAGCAGAAGAAGATGGCCCAAGTCCTTGGGCCCTGTACCCGCGTGGGAGACCCGGAAGAAGCTCCTGGCTCCCAGCTTCAGATTGGCACAGCTCTGGCCATAGTGGCCATCTGGGAGGTGAATCAGCAGATAGAAGACCTTTCTTTCTCTCTCTCTCTCAGCCTCTCCTCTCTGTGTGTAACTGTGACTTTCAAGTAAAATAAATAAATCTTTAAAATATATATAAAAAAATAAAAGACTCAACCATGAAGAACTGTACACTAAGGAATTTGGAGTTCATTCTAAGTGTGACTAAAAGCCACTGGTAGAATTTTAAGCAAGAGAATTGCCATGATGTGATGCAGGCTGATAGAATACCACTGTGGAGACAGGCCCTTGTGTGGGGAATGAAGGAACCCAGTGAGCAGGCTGTTACAGGAACTCAGAGAGAGGCTGCCTCACAGTAACAACCACAGAACCAGAAACAGACAGATTCAACATCAGAATCTCAGCACCAATACTGACTCAAGTTCTCTCACCATCTACCTGTGTATTCTCTTTGAGCCTCAGTTTCCTTACTTTGCAATGTTTGTAAAATCCCAGTACACAGGAAACTCACGCAAATTACGATAACACCTTGGTAATGAAACTATTGGTTTTTGTTTTTTAAGATTTATTTGAAAGGTAGAGTAGCAGACAGTGGAAGACAAAAGATCTTCCATCCGCTGGTTCACTCCCCTAAACAGCTGCAACAGTTGTGGCTGCGCCAGGCTGAAGCCAGGAGCCTGGCGTTCCATCGCGGTATCCCACTAACAAAGGTCAGTGTTACATGGTCCTTACTTTCCAGGAGTTCAGTGAGAACAGGTATTTACACGAGAAAAGGAGTGATGCAAACTGAAAAGACCACTTCCAGATGCAGTGGTCAGAAACGGATTCACAGTGAGGTGGAACAGCAACTAGACCCTTGCAAACCAGCATTTTGAAAGAATTTGCTACGAAGACAGCAAACACAAGAAATCAGAATTACATGAATTTACATGTAAGGGCCCAGGTTTTTTATCATGAAAAATCTGAATATGTAAAAGTCAACAGAATCAAATAAGGAATCTCCAAGTACTCCTCCACGGGCTTCAGCAATCATCAACACGGCCCATCTTGTATTATAATTAACACGTCCTAGTACGGGAAAACTCCAAAGGAACCTCTGTTCACTCGCTCCACCTTCACTTCCTCCGTCCTCAGACGAATCTGCTTTGCCATGGTAGCCTCCACCTGCCGACGTTTTCTATAGGCCATATACAAACAAGGGCAAGTGAGCTTAAAAAAAGATTAGTAAACCCATCAGCTCTTGATGGTTTACACAAGCCAAGAAAAAAGTGACAGATAATCCAAAATCAGTTCATGCACACTCTTGAAAAACTTTTTTCATGTCTGTATTTCAATGAGAATGAGTAAAATGACTGGCAAATTCATGCCACACAAAATAAAAGTTCATGGATATTTTGGACACATCACTTGGCCTCTGTATCACTGAGCTTGGGGACCTGTGAGAACTAAATGAGCATACATGACATGTTCCTGTACAGTTCTTTCTGTTTATCCCTCAGCTGACTCAGGAAGAACTGGTTACGCAGTCCTCTCCTCCCATCTACCAGCCTCTCTCAAGGTGACGCAACAACTTTCTGCATCTCAAAACATGCTAAGGCGAGGGGCAAAGGATCCTGGGTTTCAAGAAGCTCCTTTGCCTGGAAACCCAATAAAAGGGAGCTGAGACTAAAGGCAGTGACTTGAATAGAATAAATCTTCACACCCCTTCCCCTGTAACCAGCAGAGCTGGCTAACATCGCAAAGGTAGCACCGGGCCTGTTTCTTGAGTACTGTGCTTTCCACTTTCAGCTATGTGTGGCCCCTGAACAAAACAGCACAGTGAAAACAGCCAGGCAGCCAGGAGGACTCAGCGGGGCACCGCAGGAGGCGCTCAGAGGAGCACCAAGAGCAGGGCAGGAGCACACCTCACCTTCATCTCTCTCTGTCCCCGGAACGCTCCATACCACGTCCCACTGAGACACAGCTCACTGTCACTCAAAACTAAGTTAGTGGCCATGTCTGCTTAAAGCGCACGTGCGGTAACAAGAGTTTAATTCCTCCTTTTCTTTCAGTTGTGCAATTTTCTTCTTGAGATGGTGCAGGCATCACTCAGGCTCCCTTTGGGACTATCCGCTCCATCATCCACCCTCCCTCTCCGGGACGTGACCAAGTCTTGACTTATCTGGACCACACACACTACAGACCATCCAATCAAGGAAAGCCTTCTACTGAAAACCGTGCCTTATGTTCAGGTATTACCCGCCGTCTGAAGGTTTCCCTGAAACACTCTAATGCAGTAAAATACGGCACTTCAGTTTCCACGTGTTTCCTAAAGACAGTCACGTAGTCCTCAGAGCCTCTGATAAAGGCGATTCCCCTATTTCACAGGTAAGTAAAAAGGAATCAAGAAAGCAGTGTCTTTCTCAGTTGTAAAGCAAGTTACTGTCTGTTGCTTGCATTTGGGGAATGAACTGGTGGATGGAAAATTCATCCCCTTGTTCTCTCAAATAAATAAATAAATCTTAAAAGAAAAATAAATAAAGTTGTTACTGGTGAACCCGACCTCCCAACCAGGTCTTGCAACTCCAAAGGTCATACTCTTCCCAGTCTATCAGGGTCTTTTCTAAAAAGGGAAAGTCTACAGTTCTGCCTTCAACCGCATTTGCTTCAAAGAACAAACCACCTTTCAACAACCTCTCTCCCAGCTTGCAACCAGAGTTCTCATCCCCACACCTACAACCACGCCAGTCCTTGTCTCCTCGCCCTTCAGCCATGACTTTCCCCACTAGCAGAGGCGCGCTCTCCAGGGATGCTACCACCCTCCCTTCAACCCCTCCTGCAAACACGCCACCCGTGCGTGCCAGCCACCCGTGCATGCCAAACGGAGGCCCCTCGCCCCGTTCCCCCGACCCTGGCGCTGTGGGCTGTATGGCCTCACCCACGAACCTGCAAAATATGCTTTTCAGCCCTTCACCCGCTACTCGGGAACTTCACAAAGTCCCAGAGGAAACAACAGAACTTGCAGATCTTCCAAGCCCGTACTTGGCCCGGGGCACTAGCCCACTTCAAAGTCTTCAGAACACAGCAGCAAGCCTACAGAGACTACCAGGCCCAGGCCCACAGTGGGCAATGACTTCCTCCCCAGACCCTGGTTATCCCTGACTCCCCCACGGTTTCCACACGGTCTTCCGCTCCTGCTCGCACTCCTGGGCCCCGGCCAGCCTTGCCACTTCTCCCTTAGCTGCCCATCTCGGAGCGGAGCAGCAGCCCCAGTGGAGGCGGCTGCTCCTCTCTCGCAACTTCCAAGTTCTGCCTCTCATCACCTGTTCTCACCAGAGCCTCCCCTCGGCCCGGGGGCCCACCTTTGCCCCGGCCCGCCTCTCTCCACCTTTTCCATTGCTCCACAAGCCAGTTCCGGGGTGCCCCTCGGATTCCGCCTCCCATCCGTGGGATCCCCACCCCCGGGGTCAGACTCCCCCTTCTCCATCACCTGCTCCGCCCAAGGCCAGATGACATCGCCGCAGCCGCCGCCACCTCCATCCCTCTCCTCGGACGCCAGGTCCCCTCGGCGTCCCGAAAGCCAGCCGCCCCCTCCGGTGGGGGCGAGGGGGGCGTGCACCCCCAACCCGCCGCCCCCTTACAAGCACCTGGTTCCTTCTCCTCTTCCCCCCGGAGGAGCCGGCGCCCCAGACCCCCACCCGCGACGCGCCCTGGCCTCCCGGAGCCCCGCACTCACCACGAGTAAGTCTGCTCCGCCATGGCGCTGACTCGCGAGGGCTCCGCTGCAGGCTGTGGCCGGGCCCGGCGGCGGCGAGCTCGCTCGGGCCGGGAGCGGAAGGCGCGGCCGGGGCCCGGCGCTGCTCGCTCGCTGGCCGGCTCGCACGGCGGGCAGGCGGCACCGGGAAGGCGGCAGACAGGGAGAGGCCCGGCTCCGAGGCGACCCCGCTCCCTGGGCCCCGGGGCGGGGCGGGCTCCGCTCTCGGCCTCTCTCACCGGCGGCGGCGGCGGCGGCTCCGCTGCGGCTCCAAACCCAACATGGCGGCGGCGGCGGCGGCGCGGAGAACAAGGGGGCCCCGGGGCGGGCGAACAGCAACACAGGCCCGCGCTCACTACGCGCCAGGCCGCGGGAGCGCCGCGGGAGCGCGGCGGCGGCGGCGGCCGGAGGACATGGCCGGCGGGCGGAGGCAGCGGCGGCGGCGGCAGCGGTGGCGGCTGAGGGGGGCGCTAGGCGGTGAGGCGAGGCCGCTCGGATCACACCCGCCGAGGGGAGGCGAGGAGGGGGCGGGGGCGAGCCTGGGCCCCGCGCGGGTCACGTGCCCAAAACACGCTCACGTGACGCACGCCCCGCCCCTCGCGCCCGGCCCATGCGCGGAGACGTCGGCCGGTTGGTTCGAGGCGGCCGCGGCTCGCACGGCCTCTGGCGGTTGGGCCGCCACGTGCCGCCCCCTGCCCACGCGGAGCGGTCGCCTTCTGCCCCCGCCTCGCCCGGCTTTTCCTTGCCAGTCGGGACCGCGCTGCGGGTCGTTGGCTGCCACTCAGCCGTCAACCCTCGATCTACAGCAGTGCACTGGTCCCCAGCTGTCCATCAATCAACCTGTCAGCCGGCCGGCGGAGCCCTGCGTGCCCCATCCCTACGTGGGTTGGTCCGTTCAGTCCTTTAACCGATATTCCACGCAGCCAACCTTTACTGCGCCCAGGCTCTGGGCCAAGCCCTCGGGGTGCCAAGTCAAATACCCTATGCTTGCCTTCAGTGAACCAATCACCAGATATTTATATTTATTGGATGCCAACAAAGTGTCAATGCGTTCTGCTGGGTCTCCCCCCGCGGGGCGCTTGCTTTCTCCAGGAGGAGACAGGGGGAGTCCCAGCGGACAACCACGTGGAGACTGTTTCATGTGCTGCCAAGTTCCAGGAAGGTGGTAACACAGGGGATGGGACGGTGAGTAGGGGGTCAGGGCTACTTGAGATGGGGCTGTGAGCTGACGCCTGAAGGCGGAGAAAGAGCTGGGCGTGCCAAGATGCAGGGGAAGAAAAAGAGTTCCTGCGGAGGGAACCGCAAAGGGTGGGAGGGCCCCGAAGCCGATGCAGGAGTAGACAGGGTAGAGCTAGACCCGAGACCCACGGGGTACATCTGGGAGTGGGAGAGAGGTCGCGGGGAGACCTCTGGCATTTGGGGGTGTTCCCGCAGGAGTGACGGTTGCCACCTGATAGCCTGAGAGAGTTGCGGGGATGGGGGTGGAGGTGTGGGCGGGAAGCATTCTAGGAGGACAGAATGGCATCAGGCAAGGCCCAGAGGTGCGAAGGGTAGGGGTGAGCTCACACCCGGTACTGGGTGGCTGGGTTGTGCTGTGCGGTGTTGAAAGAAGAGACTGGAAGGCTGCGATGAGGCCAGACTTGGGAGGGCTTGGCTTAGCCTCTGCTGCAGTTACTGTGTTCAGGCATGGAAAGGACCAGTCAGTGCAGCTCCGGATTCTAGAAGCATGCCTGGGCGCCGGCCACGGCAGCCCACCTGGACACACACACACACACCCTTCCCGCCTCCACAAGGTGCAGCGCTCACCTGAAACCCGCATACCCAAGCTCCTCTGCGGCTTGCCCAACTTGGGGCCGGGACCCAGCTCTGCTCCCGGTTCCCAGGGCCTGCCCAGGCTTATGTGGAGCACCACACCCTGACTCTATCTCCGGATGGATCGCTTGGCCGTGGCCCATACAGCTGCCGCTCGCCTGTTCCCCCAAGGGGAACCCTTTAGTGAGAAAGCCAAGTACACGGCTCCTTCAGAGGCAAGAGCACTCCTTCCTCCTTCCCCCACTGCCGGTGCCAGGACTGGTCAGGTCGGGCCTGTTTCCTCTGAAGCTCCCCCGAGAGCTCTGGGATAAGGCCAGCTGATAAGATCAAGGTCCCAAGAAAATACCAGGCCGTCAGGGACCCTTCCCCTCACCATGCACAGAAGGATACCAGCCCACAAATAATCCACCCAACCGGGGCCGGCGCTGTGGGGCAGCAGGTTAAAGCCCTAGCCTGAAGTGCTGGCATCCCATATGGGTGCCAGTTCAAGACCCGGCTGCTCCACTTCCTATCCAGCTCTCTGCTATGGCCTGGGAAAGCAGTACAAGATGGTCCAACTCCTTGGGCCCCTGCACCCACGTAGGAGTCCCAGAAGAAGCTCCTGGCTCCTGGCTTTGGATCAGCGCAGCTCTGGCCATTGCGGCCATCTGGGGAGTGAACCAGCAGATGGAAGACCTCTCTATCTCTACCTCTACCTCTCTGTAACTCTGTCTTTCAAATAAATAATAAATGTTTTTTAAAAAAATAATCCACCCAACCATAAAACAGCACTGACTGCAGGAGTGTCATGGCAGGGCGGGGGGTGGTGGGGGTGATTAGAAGGCAAAGGGCCGGAATTTGTGACATTCACCTAGCTCTTACCACTCTGCCAGGTGCTTTTACTGAAAACCAGCAGCACCCTTGAACCTGACACACAGTTCATCTGAGCCTCCAAGGGGCATGAGTGAGGCTTCCGATCCCGTGGGAAAGGCCCGAAGCTGTTGGCAGGAGCGGCTTGGGGAAGTGCAGAAGCTACTTCTCCCGAGAGCTGCTGAGAACAAAACAGACCAGCCGTGCTGCTAATGAAGCAAAACGACGCGCTGAGCCCCTAGGCAATCCGCCTGGGCTTTGGTTCCCAGTGAGTCAGACAAGGCAAAGCAGGCTGAGTGGTTGGTGTTGGGTGAATGGAACCCGAGCTGCTGAGAAAGGAAAGTCAAGGCCGTTGGAGAAGTGACAGGGTTGTTCTTTCCAGCACAAAAAAGTTGGTGGAAGAGAGGGGGATGGAGGGGCTGGGTCAAGAAGGAAGGGAAAGTCCCCTCCCCTGTATCTAAGCCAGAGGCACCCAAAATGGTAGGAAACGTGAATGCTGCAGACCCCGAGACACCAAAGTGCACCCGGCAGGGCTGGGAGGGTGTCCAGACCACAGAAACCGCGTGCACATACGTGGTCTCTGGAGACCAAGCGTAGGCAGGCACAGGGACTTGTGGCTCAGACGTCTCAGGCCAAGGTTGCCAGGATGTAGAAGGCACCTCCACGTCCCCGGCAGGCTTGAAGTCCCCAGGGAAGGCCAGGCTGGAACAAACCTGAAGCCCAGGGGTTGCCTGGAAGCCGCCCAACCTGCAGCGCTGGGGCAGTGACTCTCAGGCCCTCTGCCAACGAGACTAAGCTCCCAGCGGCTCTGGGCCTCAACTGGGGAGGCAGGTGTGCTTGGCAGAGAGGTGGGCATTGGGTGGCCCAGGATGGGGGCTGGCTCCCGCTCTTTCCACCCTCCACCCCAGGCAAGAGGACCACAGCGTGCGCAACGCTTGTTAAAAGAGGCAATGGAAGTGCCTCTAATTATCACCATGTTAATTACAGGATGGCTCCTTCTCCTGAGTGGGTTCAAAAGGGACTTGGGGAGTCTCCCCAGAACACATCATCTGCCTTAGGCACAGACTCCTGGGAGCGGGTGTGGCTGGATTGGGCAGGGCGGCTTCCTCACTGCTTCTGCGGGAGTCAGAGGCTCAGCTCTAACTTTGGCCCTCCCTCTCTGTCCCCTCCCCCCTGCACATGCAGGTGCACTTGACTTTTGCTCCAGAGTGTATTCTCACCTGAACTAACCTCGGCTGGGCTGGCCGCCTCTCCTCTGTACTCCCCCAGCCCCCTGAGTTTACCCACAACCCAGCACTTAGCACAGCCAGCTTCCATGGCCTGTTTACTTGTTCTCTCCCTTGGATGGTGACTGCCCAATGGGAAGAGAGCACGGCGTGTTGCCAGTTACATCCTCAGTGCCCAGAGCTCCTGGATTTAGTTAAGAAGAAGATCAGGGGCCTGTGTTGCGTCGTAGCAGGTGAAAGCCACCGCCTGCCGTGGCGGCATCCTATATGGGCACTGTTTTGTGTCCCCAGTGCTCTACCTCCAATTCAGCTGCCTGCTAATGTGCTTAAGAACAGAAGGATGGTCTAAGTGCTTGGACCCCTGCACCCACATGGGAGACCCAGAAGAAGCTCCTGGCTCCTGACTTTGGCCTAGCACAGACCCAGTCATTGCAGCCATTTGAGGAGTGAACCAGCAGATGGAAGCTCGCTCTCTGTATCTCCCTCTCTATCTTTCAAATAACTCTACCTTTCAAAAAATTTTTTAAAGTAGGAGTTAAAAGTTTGTGGTGTGGGGGCCGGCACTGTGGCATAGCAGGTAAAGCCACCACCTGTGGTGCCAGCATCCTGGTTCCTGTCCCAGCTGCTCCACTTCCGATCCAGTTCTCTGCTGTGGCCTGGGAAAGCAGTAGAAGACGGCCAAGTCCTTGGGCTCCTGCATCAGTGTAGGAGACCCAGAAGAAGCTCCTGGATCCTGGCTTCAGATCGGCACAGCTACGGCTGTTGCAGCCATCTGGGGAGTGAACCAGCAGATGGAAGACCTCTCTCCCCATCTGCCTCCTTCTCTCTCTGTGTAACTCTGACTTTCAAGTAAAATAAATAAATCTTAAAAAAAAAAAAAGTTTGTGGTGTGAACACTTGTGTGAGAAAGTGGGGCGGGCGCTGAGGCTCAGGCCAGGGCGTTAACCCACTGCACCACAGTGCCCACCCGGAGGCATAGCAGGTAAAGTGACCACCTGCAGTGCCGGCATTCCATATAGGCACCAATTTGAGTCCCGGCTGCTCCACTTCCGATCCAGCTCTCTGCTACGGCCTGGGAAAGCAGTAGAAGATGGCCCAAGTCCTTGGGCCCCTGCATCCAGGTGGGAGACCTGGAAGAAGCTCCTGGCTCCAGGGATTCAAGGTAACTGTTCTGCCTGATACTGTATTCAGCACTCCCTCTGTCCCCCACAACATCCCCAAATGGTAAAGGGACTCCTTAAGGACAGAGAACTCTATTAGAAATGTCCATGGACTCAAAAACAACACTACTAGTCGAACAATACCCTATGCCTGGTTCGGTTGTGTGAGTGCAGCCTGTTGAAATCCCTGCTTAGTATATACTAAGTTGATCTTCAGTATATGAAGGTAATTGAAAATGAAACGTGATGAAGGTCGGGATGGGAGAGGGAGTGGGAGAGGGGAGGGCCACGGGAGGGAGGGAGGTTGGGGGGGGAGCCACAACAATACAAAAGTTGCATTGTATATTCTACTTAAAACTATTGGTTGAACTCTGTAATTAATACACAATTACTCTTAGGTGTTTAATTAA